GACGAGAGGCGTCTGGGCTCCTTGGACAAACGGCCCGAGGGACCGGGTGCGACCGCTTCTCGGCCGGTGGGGGCGCCCGCAGAGCCCACCAGCACGCGACCATGTACCCCACCATGTACCCCCCGAAGGCAGCAGTGCTGGAGAGGACGCGGCCGCCAACAACGTTTTTAAAAAGAAAAGAAAGCCTCTGGGAACTGCTCTGGCAGCGCTCGGGTTCCCCCAAGGAAGCCGCTGGGGCTCGGTTTGCGTTTGCTCTTTGCCCTTGATGTCAGTGCGAACAGACCTATGGCCAGGGCAAGAATGAAAGGGCGTCTCCTTCCAAACCTTGAGGTACACCGGTCACTCCAAGCGCCCAGCAGCGGCTGCAGCAGGAACCCTGAAACGAGCAGCGCGTCAGGGTCCGGGACAGGGGCCCCTCGCGCGGGGGAACCTGCGTCGAGGGCAGCAGAGGCCACCAGAGGCCTCCGCAGAGCGGCTCTGCGCTAGAAAACAAGACGCGGGCCCTGGGGACTCAGCTTTCCGCACCCCCCCAGCAGGACCCCAGGGGGGTGGGGGGCTGGGCTCCCCGGCTGGGCCGGCCCCCAGCTCCAGTCTGTGGTCTGGCTTGGAGGCCCCTGGACGGGTGTCCCCTCAGTCCCGGTGAGGGCTCCCTGGCTCCCTGGCCGCAGCGGCTCACCGAGGATGGGGCTGATGAACCACACGAGGCTGTAGAGCTGGTCGGGCAGGCCCATCTGCAGCAGCACCGGCGTGACGTAGGCCGTCTCCATGGCGTAGCTGAACTCGATGCCGAAGAGGATGCAGCCGTTGAAGAGCAGCTCCCGGAAGGACCTCTGGGGGTGCAGGTCCCCGAAGCCCACCAGATCGGCGGGGCACGGGGTGTTGGGGGGTGGGGGAGGAGAGGGGCGGATGCACCTCCTCCTCTTGGGGTGGCGCTTGAAGTTGTTGGCGCGGTGGCTGATGTGCTGGGGCAGGGACCCCGCGCAGCCCGACACCTGAGTCCTCCACACGTCCTGGGGGGCCAAAGCGGGGAAGAGGGCCTCTCCCGGAGGGGTGCTGCTCGCAGGGGGGATCATCGTACAGGGGGTTGGTGGGTGTTCCTGTGGGGAAAGCCCATTGGGGCACGTCAACACAGGGCCTCCCGCTCCAGAGAGTACCCCCAGCTGGCACCGCTCCCTCTTTTTATATGGAACAATCGCAGTGACCCTGGAAAGCCCTTGGAGGCCCACACCATGCACCCCGAAGTGGCAGCGCCTCTGCCCAAGGAGCCGGAGATGGGTGCTGGCCACGCTGACATACCCGTCTGCAGGCCCCGCAGTAACGCACAAAGGGCCTGCTCCCCTGACAGGCTCCGGGGGCCAGGCCAGGGCCCGGGGCGCGGCCAAGGAGGCGGGGGCATTTTCAGGGCTGATGCCCGGCCCAGGGAGCCGGACAGGACCCCGAGCCTGGTGGCAGCTTCGGGGCACCCTCTCTCCATGGACAGCGCGAGCAGGGTCACCTTCCCCGGGCAGCGGCCGACCCTGCAGGCCAGTCCAGGAGCCCCGTAGGCGCAGCTGATGGGCCACGCTCAGCACCCACCTGCCCGGACTCTACATCTGGGCCACGAGAGCTGAGAAAGTCTGAAAGTGCGCCCCGAAATTGGCAAGCCCCCGCCTCCCGGCAGGACACAGGAGCCAGGACCCGGTTTCCAAAAGTAGCGGGGGGGGCACAAAAAAGAATAAGGGGTGAGAAACAGAACCCCCATCCTCCGGTTGCTTTGTGAGCACTTTCCAGTGGCCAGACGGGGCCCCGGGGCCTCACCCCGGAGGGAAAGAGACAGAGGACACACGAGGGCGTCTGGGCCTCTCTGACATCCACCTGCCTCACCAAAAACCGACATTTCCTTTCGAGTCCTTCCCGAGACGAACGAGCCTCAGAGACGACACCGGCCCGCGTCTCCCGAGGACGCCGGAGCCTTACTGAGTGTGAAATTAGTTTCAAGCCCACTTCTGACGTGAACTTACCGCCCTTCGGCCTGCACCACCTGTCACAGCGGGAGGCGTGCTGGCTGACTCACTCTGAAACCCCTCAGCACCCCAGACTGCACCCCAAGCCTCCCCACCCCCCCACTTACAGATGTCTTCCTTCTCTTCAGAAGGAAACAGCGGCAAGTTTGCCCTGAAGCTGTCCCAGCAGGAGCCAGGGCGGCTGTCAGCCCAGGACCCATCCACCCACCGTCTACCACCGCCCCGGCGTCCAGCCTGCCCCGCCCGCCGGCCGGCCCGCCTCTGTCCTTCCAGCCGCTCTCCCATCCTCCCATTTGACCGGCTACTGAGCGCCGACCCAGAGGTGTGACCCAACAAGGTACAGCAGGGAGGGGGACGCTGTGAGCAGAGGGGTCACCGTGTGAAGGGGGTACAGGTCGTGCACGGTGGCTGTGTGGGGAGAGACGGTGCGCTGGGGGCTCGCTGACGCTGCGGGCCCGGAAGCCTCGCTGAGGGTAGGTTTTGTATTAGGGCGACAGGGACCCCTCAGAGCCACCTCAGTGCACGCTCACATCTCTCAGGGCCTCATCTGGCGACTCTGGAAAAGCCCCGTGTGCTCCTCAACAAGAAAGCTGCACCCAAGAACTGGGCAGGCAAGTGACGCTTTATGAAAACCATTCGTTCGTGAGGATTAAGTCAAGATTAGATTTTAAAAGCTGCGCTCCTGCCTGTGCTCCATCCAGTTCCGCTCAGGCCCTTGTCGTGGGACACGCGCCAGGCAGCCTGTCAGCTGCCCGCCTGGCTCGCCTGCAGCACCCCAGGCAGCGGTTAGCACCCCGGCCTCGTTCATCAACGTCACAGAAGCAGGGCGCCTAAGCAGAGACTCAACATCTGAAGGGAGGTGCCAGCCCAGGTGTGCGGGAGCTGGCGCCCCCCAGGTCGGGGCCTGCACCCCTCTGCTCGGGCCTTTGCCCCCACCAGGGGCTGAGATGCACGGGCCGTGCAGGTTCCCCTTTCATTTGGGAAGAAGAACCACAGTTCCACTTGGGAAGTTTCAGCTCTACACGGGCAAGTGCATTTTTGAAAAGGCGACTTTTTAGGGGGACTCTGGGGCTCACCTAGAATGAACCCCGTGGAGCCCCGTCTCAACCTGTAAAGGGCCACTTTCACCGTCGCCTGCCCACCACCCCCAGACTCAACAGTTTGCAGCCTGTTCTTGCAAAAGGGGGGACCCTCCCACCCCCGTGAGCCCCAGCATCTCAAGCAGAATTGTCTGGGCTGGGAAAGTCATCGCGAGGGGATCCCCTTCAAACTGGGGGTCAGTCTTACCATCCTCACTGTTAAAACATTAACGCAAAGCTGTTCACGCTGAGAAGCGTCTGAAGCTCACTGCCACATCCGAGAGAACGGACGCGCGCTGAGAGGACGGGCCAGAGCTGCGCTGGGCACTGGCCACCGTCCTCGCGGGCCGGTGCCGTTCCTGCCACCCAGCCCCCACCGGCCGGGCAGGCCCTCGGGTCCCAGGGGACTCAGCGGCAAGCACACCACTGTGCTGGGGAGATAAGGGCAAACGACCCCTAGGACAAGCGATGCCCGAACCCCACGGGGCGCCCACAGCGCTTCTCCCGCTCGCCCCACCTCCCGCCCCCAGTTCCCACAGTTAGAACTTCAGGGAGAACTTTCCGAGCGCTGTGGACTTGGGGGAGACACCTGACAAGCTGGCGGAGGGCCGGGGCCCGCTGGGGGCCTTGATTTTGATCCCGGGGCCCTTGCCTGGTGGCCACCTGGTCCCCCAGAACTCAGGGCATTCAGACTGGGGGGTCCTCCCCGGCGCCCGGCGCTACGTCCCCTGTCAGGGGAAAAGCATAACCTTGCCAGTACCAGAATGATCTCCCAAGTTGCTGGTCCAGCACCGAAGACCCCAGCGGCCCAGAGGCCTCGTCCAGCCCCGGCTGCCCCTCGGCTGGACTGGACAAGGCTGAGGGCGCCTCCAGCCCCCGGCGGCGGCGGGTGGGACCCTGGCCTCTGACCTCCGGAGGTCAGCGCAGGCTGCAGGTGACCCGGAAGCGGATGCCACCTGCGCAGGTGCCAGACAGGCCTCCCTCGGGGCCCAGGGGCAGCGCCCCGGCTGGGCTGGCCGGCCGGCGGCAGCCTTCGCTCCTCCCTCCCAGCAGGGGCTCAGTGGGCACCCGCCGCGCCAGCGCCAGCCGCAGCTCGGATGAGACTCCCAGACGACAAAGGTCTCGGTGCCACCCGACCCGGGCGCTCCACCGCCCTGGGGCCCGAGCCGCGGCGCCCCTGCCCCAGGC